TGACTTGGCAACCCTAGGAAAAACTGACACAGGTCCCTGTACACAGATCTATGTACACGTGCCCTTAAAGACCGCAAGAAGACATATGGTTAAGACGCTGAACTGCAGGCTGTGGAAGGTCAGTAGTTCAGCGGTTCAAGACCCGGGTGCCGCAAGACAGGGTGAGCTCCTGTCTCTAGTTCCAGCTCCTGCCAACCTAGCAGTTCGAAAGCAAGAAATTGCAAGTAGATAAATAGGTACCACTTCCGTGGGAAGGTAACAGCGTTCCGTGCGCCTCGGTGTTTAGTCATGCCGGCCACATGACCACGGAAACGTCTTCGGACAGCGCTGGCTCTTCGGCTTTGAAACGGAGATGAGCACCGCAACCCTAGAGTCGGATTCGACTGGCTTTCGAGCAAGGGAACCTTTACCTTTTTATGGGACAAATTAGCACCTTGTGTTGTAAGAAGGTGTAAGAGACAACTCTGAGCTGCCACATTCTATACCAACAGCACTCTGGAGTTAACAATACTAAAACTTTGGCTCACATAATCTGTAAAAAAATTTACCTAGAAAGGGCTCTTGACCCTCTGATTCATCGTTTATGGCCCATAACTGGTGCCCTTTGATGATTCAGTTACTGAATCCCAGACCAAACACTGTTTGTTGTTTTATTTATATTGCATGCTTATTGTGAGCTGCTTTGGGTGCCACTTGGGAGAAAAAGCAAGATACACATATTTAAATACAGAGAAAGATTCCCCCACACACACACTTGAACTTTTCTCCCTAGCTAGACAGCAAATAAACATGATAGCAGTTGGTATTCAATTAAACATTACAATATTTGTGTTCATCACTTTGGCAGAATCATTGCATATAGTTGAGACAGCTTTGCGAGAGAGTTTGGCTAGACACATCAGAACATCCATTTGAAATACATTACTGAACCAGCTTGCAAGATTGTTTATGCCTGCTTTCTAATGGATTCCTGTTTAAAAACCTGCAGAAGAGTGACGTGAAGAGAACAGTGTACTTTACACTACAACATTACAAGTTATGGCCTGTTTTACTATAGATTCACTGTTGACTCATCCATATAATATTAATGTCAAAAGAAAACACAAACAGAGTTAACAGTTCTGTATAGCCCATATGTAAGCCTGCTTTACTTTCGGGGAAAATATTTTGACGCTAAACATAAGAAATTCTCCAAACGATTTCAAAATGACAAGGATCCTTTTGAGTTATCTTCTTCATTTGACTGGGTTTACACAGATCCTAAAATGACATCAGCTTCTGCGCTGCTCTCCTCCCTACATTAATAAATCTTCTAGCAGCAGGAAAGTAAATGGCTAAGCCTAAAACTCCACTCCCCTAAACCGGACCTGCTATTCCCCCTTGTGGTGACAGCCACAGATTACATATTCTGTGCAGTTTCTATGGCTAGATTGAGATTGGATGTTAAATGCTGTGATGCTGGTACCAGCTTGGCCCTGCGGTTTGTTTTCTGAAAAACTGTGAACTCTGAACATTCAAGTAGCACAGGGACGGACTGCCCCAGAACTCCCTAAGTGACATAATACGGTGCCTCCACAGCGTGGGGGAATCAGTATTCTAAACAGTTCCTATTCTATGACTACAAATCATCCTAATCCATGACCCATCAAAACCTAAAGACTCAGATTTCAGATAAATTCCAGCCCCCCCCCAAAAAAAGCCAAAACAAAAATAAATTGAAGTCCTTCGTGGTAGACTAGGATGTATATCAAAGATTTTTCTACCATTTTCACACTTTAAAGCGTTTTCAGACACTAAACAGAAAGATCAACTTTGCTTTCAGATAGCAAAACTTAACAGAAAATGTCCTCTTTCATGTGGAATAATTATTGAAGCAAAACACATATCCACACTTATAAATTCTGCA